ATACAAATGTAATTCCGAAATATGAATCTCCAGAAATCTATGACAACATCGGATCACCGATGTATTCTGATATTGAAATTGAAACACCAAGAATTTTGTCATCCAATGTTGTTGATATACCTATGAATGCTAAAATACCACGACTGCGTAAAGTTAGACACCCCAAAACTTTTAATGAAAATTATAATGAACCAGAAGTTGTTAATGATAGAAATGCCAATTATTCGTTTGATAATAATAACTGTCCTTGCCACGACGAAAATAATTTATGTAGATGTTCCAACATTCATTCTACAAGAAACTCAAAATATCCTAGAAGAAAAAAAAATTTTTCTACAAAGAAAAATCCTTCAGTAGATATTATTACTCCTTATTATCTAGATGAGTATGGTAGAATTAAAAACGATGAAAAATCTGTAAGAAACTTACAGACACCACAAAATTATGCTGGAATTAACCAGAAAAAAAAGAGGCATTTAAAACGTATTATAACATATAAGGTTAACAAAGCAACAAATGAAAGAATTAAAGTTGACGAGCAAACATATTCCACTTCAGATGAGTTATCACATACTCCAAAAAATAAATTAGAATCAATTAAAACTGAGGTCTCTGATGATCTAAATACGAATAAGAACAATAACGACTATTCTTCATTTTTGGTAATTATTTATTCATTTTTATCAATAAAATAAATTAAATGTTATATTCCTTATAATATTATAGAGTTGTTTAAAATTATTATTCTTTCGTTTTAGTTTAAGGAGTACAACACGGATCAATGCAAACGTGATGCATACGATAGATTTAAAAAGGTCCATTCACAAAATACCAAAGATATTGCTTATCAAATTATTTTAGACACGAATAATATGCGAAGTAATATATTAGCAACAGTGAAAAATGCTTTAGGAAAAGTGAAAGTCTCCAAAACACTTAATGACGTTGATCAAAGTTTAAGAACAGTCAGTAACTCTCTGAAAACAGGTTTGAAACAAACTGTCCGTGATTTGGTTACCAAATTGATTCGGTTAGCTAAAGGTTTTTGGAAAACAGTGGAAAACCTCAGTTACTTATACAAGAATGGTCCTCAGACAACATACAAAATGTTATCCAATATTTTAAAAAATGAATCAACCATTCCAGATTCAGCTAAAGATGTATTAAAACTTATTTCTCCACAATTTGACGTGGATGAATTAATAAATAATATCTTAGAAAAACCTTTCAATACAAAAACATTGAATGAGAAAAAGGCCAAAGCTCAAAGAAGACTTATTAATCTGTCAAAGCACATGGACACGGCAATAAGCAATATTGACTGCTGTGTACTATCTGCCATGTCTATTGTAGGCATCGGAGCGGAGACGTTAAAAGTTCTGAAATCTGGGAGGGTAATTATGAATGATAATCATCCTAGGGTGAAAGCACTGAGAGATGCTGTGGCAATAATTAAATCGGGTAAAAAAATCATAAACAATAACCGAGGTTTTACATCAAAATTGATAGGTTTAGATGGCTCCACTGAAAATGACAAATATAACGATGGCGAGGATCCACAGGAAGTAGCTCAGAAAAACGAAGATATTTTAAATGCTGTACCTGACCTAGAAGATAATATGACTTTACCAACAAAAGTTCCAAACAAACGACATCCGTTGAGTGTAATTGTTGTGCATCCGAACAATGATATTGATTACAAAGAAGTGACAGACACTTCACAACTCAAAAAATTCGTTGGAGACCAGTCGAAAAAATACAAATTTCAATATAAAAATAATCATCCTAGATTTTTAAAACTAATTGATAAAAAAATATTCTACAATGTAGTTGCAGATGTTAAGAAAAAGGCTGAAACAAATGGAATGAGCAAAAAAGAAATGGTACAAGATATTATTGATAATTTGAAGAGTAGATGAACGTAATTACGATCATAAATTTGAATGAATGTTTTTATTATTATTTATAAAAATGCTGTTATTACGCTAAAGAAATGATAAATCTTGTATTTAATATGTTAAATATTTTTAACTCTTAGTTCGTAATGAAATCGTCAAAAATATACAACTTTGTATGATAAATAATTCAATTTATTATAGAATTGATATTTCGTTGAAACAAAATATTACAGCTTTTTAATTATTTCGGTATATATTACAGGTAGTACCTAGGCTTATGATAATTTAATTTACTATTTTTGTTTACTAAAATTAATTTTAATAGGTACTAACGTGAATGTTCAATATTCAACGGTTATGATTGATAGTCGTCATTAAAATTGTATTWTATGCACTTTTAAGACAAGTGATACCTTTATCTACACTTAAGTGACCGAAATACTACGAATTGATCATTTTCTATTTAGCTCTCAAGATTTGATAGTACTTACTGTTTAGACTTTTCGTCTTCAATACCCATGAATTAAACGATTTTAAATTGAACTCAAAGACAGAAAGAATTAAGTTTTGCAGTGTAGCTATTAAAATTAAAATAAACGATATTAGGTACGAAAATATTTTATTAAAATACGATTTATTCAATCAAAATGTTTCACCAAAYGTCATACTAGCCGATAGMGKTCTAAAGCATTATACGAGTACATTTGACACTTATGAGTTATGGTCAACTAAATATTTTTGGTTGGCTATTTATGCTATATATAAATAGAATTATAAAAAATGTATAAGGTATTAATAACCTCATAATAAAAAAATCGAGCAGGTGGTTAACGTTTTGCTGCTATAAATTACTCTAGAGAGAGAGTCACTGTAATAGATGTATTAAATTTGAATTCATTAATATAAAAAAACGATTCTTATCGAAGACAGTCTGTCAGCCTACTACTAAGTATATTTAGTGATATTATTGTGATTAAAGTGATTTATTTTACTATATTATAGGCGTTATTACCTACTGTACTTCTAAGTTCTGTTGAATTTTATAGCAGGTTAAATATATTTTGTCGAAAAAATTGCATTTGAAAATGACATTGTGAATATAATGTATTATAACTTGCATAAAAAAATAACAATTACCCAGGGATAATATTTTTAAATTAAAAAAAAAAACCAATTAAAATCGTTAATTTTTATTCAAATATCTAGTGTTTTATCTAAATTTGAACTTTAAATAATTATCAAAAAAGAAATGTGAAAAAATGACAATAGGCACAACTAATCAAACAAAAAACACAGAGTACCTGGTGGAATGACAAAATAAAAGAAGCAATATCCAATAAAAATAAAGCACTAACGAATTTCAAAAAAAATAAAACCTCCGAAAATCTTATCGAACTCAAAAGACTCAAAGCCAAAAGCAAATTCCTCATAAAAAACAGTAAAAAGGAATCATGGAACATATTATACACATCCACTATCAATGGAAAACAGTGCTCGACTTGGCAAAATCAAAGTAGAGGGACTCTGTTTACTATAAAAAAAGAGCGTCCCCACACCCCCTATTACTCCTCTCTAAATAATTTATAAAACATTTATAAATAATCAACTTCGAAAAAATTTACTGTAAATATTATAATGTATATTTTTGTTAAAACTTATAAAATATTCGAAAGTGATTAAATAAAAAACAATTAATTTTAACTATTTATTTAAATAATTCCATAACTTATCATAGGTWTGTTCTTTTTTCTTATCTTCTAATTTTATCCTTTTTGGACAACAGTTTTCTTCTGCATCTCTTTTACCACTTAATATCCAAGATTTTACATAGCTACTAGGTATAAAACTATTAGTGGGTGGACCTACACATTGTATTAATAACAATGATGAAATATGGTTTGGCGTTAATGCATTTCTTTTCCAAGTGACTGTATTATTCATGGTACTAAAACTTCTTTCGCATTCAGAAGATGAAATTGCTACTGTATTAATTGCAACTATTAATGGTCTTAATGAGTGAATGTGTGACAATTTTACATTCTTAAATTCTTGTCACCATATTGAATGTCATATTTATCTGGCCAATTTTGTACATTCAGTACATCCAAATCTTTAAGGAGCTCATCATATTTTTCTTTAAATATATTACCTGATGTTGATGATATATATGAATAATAYAACCTTTGCTAATTAGTTTCTCTTGGTACCCAAATCAATTTTTAATTTTTTTTTCAAATTAAATATCAACCCAATAATTTCACTGCTTGAATGTGAATGGTTGTTATATTGTTTTGTACAATTATGTAATGTGTAATTATTAATTACATGAAACTATATTCTATAACCAACCATATAATTAATTAAATAGATTTAAAAAAAATATTTACTAACATTGTAACAAATTAAAATTAATATATTATTCTTAATCACCTGTTGTGGCTTTACTACATCAATATTTGCGTTTGAAGTACTTGTAATTATTTGAGTCTTTTCTGTTTTATCAACATTATCAGAACTCATATAGAATATTAAAAAAATTAGAGATAGAATAAGCATCTGTAGATATGGTGTGTTCAAATATATTTTTCTAAATCATTTATAAGTATTATAAAGTATAATATAGTATCTTGTGCCTAGTGACCAAGTATACTAGTATATACTATTTATACCTTCTTAATCTAAGTTTAACATTTTAATAAATTACTGTTGTTACTGAGTGTTTGAGTAATTATTGATTATCTACTTACTTTCATCTGTTTTTTAAAATATGAAAATAAATCACTTCGTGGTCTCTTTTTTTCAGTCATTGTGTTAATAAATAATAATATAATAATAATTGTTCTAGTAGTCTTATATAATAAAATGAAAGTTCAAAGTAATAATGAAATAAAACAGTTTAAACTTATAAAATTAAAAACTTTCAAACTTAAATCTATGATAAATGATAATTCATAACAATTATTAGTGAATAATGATAACAGTGGTAAGTACTGGTAACTGATAAATGATAATATAATACTTTGGTTATGAAATATGAARATAATAATAATAATAATAATACATCTAAGGTAAAAAAATAAATATGATTTGATTCGTGCATTTAGATAAAAATGCATAATAATGCAGCGTCCCGTGCGTTCCCCTTAAAAATAAAAGTTGGGGTACGCTAAAATTTCTGAAAAAATAGTTAAGGGACTCCGTCCGCCTGCGTCCCCCCCCCAAGTCGAGCACTTTTTTTTCCATTGGAAAAACGAACCCATCACAAGTACAGCAGAACCTCTCTAATCCGTCACCTTCGGAGCTGTGGGTGTGGTCGGAACGCGAAAAAGGTCGGATTATCAGAATATAGAGAACATTTTTATTTACATAATATTACATACAAGATTATATTAGAAATTTATTATATTTTACAATACTTAGAAAAATAGCCAGTTATAGATTTTTGTTTAGCAAATGATATTGTAGACTTAGCTAAGACTAATAAGGGAAATATTAAATTAGCAATTGCAAAAAATAGCAATCCTCCTAAACACGATGGCTAAAATAATCGAAAAAATAGTGAACACTCAACTGATTTGGTTCCTGGAAAAAGCAAATATTCTAACTTACCTGCAAAGTGGCTTCCGAAAACACAGATCCACAATCGACAGCCTTACGATCATTAAGTCAGAAGTAAACGACGCACYAAACTCAAATCAGTACCTCGGTTTGATAAGCATAGACATCTCCAAAGCCTATGATTCTGTATGAAGATACAGAGTGTTACAAATACTATCAAAAATACTAACAGACGGCAACATGTTTAACTACATAAAATGCTTTCTTAACTCAAGACAATTCTCAATCTCTCTTACAAATGCCCAATCAAAAAATTACTCCCAAAAAAATGGAATTCCTCAAGGTTCGTCATTATCGGTCACCCTCTTTCTTTTAGCAATAAACGACATAACTAACACCATAACATTTCCTGTAAAAGCCAACTTTTTCGCAGACGACTTTAATTTCTGGTGCAAAAGTTTTATTCTAAAAACAGTACAACATTCTTACAAGATACAGTTAACAACATCGCAAAATGGTCATCACTGACTGGTTTCAAATTCTCTAGCCTTAAATTCCAATGCATCATATTCTCCAACAAAAGAGGTCAAAAGCACATCAACATCCACTTAAATWACAACCTCATCCCGAATGTAAACACAATTAAAATACTCGAAGTTTATTTTGACAAATGAATCAACTGGTTACATCATCTTAAACAACTCAAAATATCATTGTCAAGAAGTCTCAACATCATAAAAACGATAAGCCATACCACATGGGGAGGGGACGAAGATGCGCTTTTAAAAATTCATAGACATCTCGTCAAATCAAAAACGAAATACGGTGCAACAATCTACCAATCAGCCAAATCCCACCACAAAAATTAATAGATACTTCTATAAACTCCAGCTTAAGATTCGCTATCGATGCGTTTCGATCTAGTCGCACCGAAAGCATTCGAAACCTAGTACTCGAACCCCCATCTGAGCTTAGATACATAGAAAAATCATTACTCTACGCTGCTAGTATCGCAAGAAACTCTGGCAATCCAGCAAACAAATACATTACAGAAATTACCGAGTACGCTAAAGATCATGGTATAGAATTCAATGCGATAACGAAAGTTTAACCCCTCATTTTTCCCCCATGGTCCTTCAATATTGATATAAATCTGGATTTAACTAAATTCAAAAAAGAGCTCTCTTCCCCTATGATTTACAAGAATCACTTAATCGAAATACTCCAAGAAAACAAAAATGCAAACTGTTATTCACCGATGCCTCTAAATCTAATAAAGGAGTGGGAATCGCAATTACTAACCATGACCTCTCTATCAAACTCCCTGAAAGCTGCTCTATATACACGGCAGAAGCCATAGCAATACTCAAAACAATAGAACACATATTACTAAATCGTGATCATGGAAACCCCCACAAAAGCAATCTACTCCTGTCAGACTCACTTTTCTCAATCACGAGCCTCAAAAACCCCTTCAACACTACAGATATACCAAAACTTATACTGCGAAAAACTAGCCTAGCATATTAAACAGGAATCAAAATTTCACTAATATGGATCCCGGGGCACAGCGACATAGAGGGCAATGAAAAGGCAGATCAAGA